GTTGTGTATGCTGTTCAGTGTCAGGAGGGCTGTGATCAGTCTTACATTGGGGAAACAAAACAGCCACTGGCCAAAAGGATGGCCCAGCACAGAAGACCAACATCATCAGGCCAGGACTCTGCGGTCTACACTCATCTCCAGGCCAGCGGTCACTCTTTCAGGGATGAAGATGTGCACATCCTGGATAGAGAGGAACGATGGTTTGAGAGAGGAGTAAAGGAGGCCATCTTTGTGAAAAGAAACCGTCCATCATTAAACAGGGGTGGAGGCCTACGTGTTCAACTGTCCCCCTCTTACAATGCTGTGATTGCTAGTATCACTCAGCCCTCTGTGAATAGTAAACAGCCATCAGAGTGCTAATGATCCATTGTTAGGCTGATGGTCCTTCTTGAGCATGTGATCAGCTGGTTTTGGTTGTCAGCAGCAAAACTGGTTGATCCACTCTGAGAAGGTGCTATTTAAGAGACTGAGCTGAAAACAGCACCTCAGACTGAAGAAGTCTCTCGGACGAGAGACGAAACGTTTCTACATTTTTTGTTGTTTTGCTTTGTTTTGGGTTTTTTTGAATGTCCAGAGGACCAGATTTAACTTTTTTAGATATTCACTGTCTCGTTACTGACCAGTCACATCAAGACTGATTATAATATAGAGAAAAAAGATGGAACATTTTAATGTCATTCACAATAACAGTAAAGGAGCAGTGCATAATTACACATTACCTCGACATTCACCATTTGCTTATTTTTTGGCAATAATTGTGAATCCATGCATTGTCACTAATGCAGAAAACAGCTGCTAAAGATCTATAATAAACTATATGCACTGATATTGCACTGTTTTTAATTTTGTCACTTTTTAACCACAATCTTGACCATGTTTTACTGTGATTTTGTGTGATAGACGAACATAAAACAGCACATAATGGTTTTTGTTTTTTCTTTTGAACATGTTAAAATAATCTTACAAAAGGAAGAACAAATTACACCACCAGATCCATACAAACGTAAAACTGTACTCTAAAGGGGGAGATGGGGGGTGGGCATAAACAATAAAAACCAAAAAGTAAATGAAAGCTTTCCAGCACTGTTTTTATTTGAAAAGGAGCAGGAAGGAACAATAAACTTTTTTATACCTACCCCTCATATGTAGCTATTACATTCTTTCTCTCACACAATATTTATGATGTGTTATTAATAGCTTGATATGGTATTCATCTACTTTTACATTTTTATACAAGGAAAAAGTAAATGACAAAAACACAAAACTCAGCAAAAAAAGTATATA